AATGAGCCAAAGCCTTGTATTTCAACTTCCAGATAATACAGGTACACTAATATGCATTAATGCATGATTAATTACTTCATTGTTAGTGCAAATTCATGTGTAAATTACTACAATTACTAAATGACTAGTTAATAACGATGTGCCTCAACAAGTAAAGTCATAACATAATGATACCTTTGCAAATCATTAGCTAATGATTAATTAAAGCAGACAACTGGAAGTTGAAGTGCATAGCTTTGACTAATTGTGGTAATTAACACATTAATTTACACTATTAATAAAATATGTTATTAAGGAATTAATACACAATGACACATTGAATTAATAGCAATTCATGTATTACTTAATCTATTAATCATATAGACTCTTTATTAGTTGCTGATGCAGTAATCATTAATTAATGGTTTAGTTCTTCATGAATCATACATTAACTCATGATTATCTATGCATTAGTTAAACATGAATTAATGCATATTAGTGCACCCGTATTGTAAAGTGTTACCAAGGAAACGTTCAAATGGCTTAAAACAGACGCGATAGCTGATTGGAACGAGTGATGTTCGACGCCGGCATCCATCTTTGTAATGTAGGCTACAAAATCATGTTCAAAATCCCAGCGCTGTCGTCATCGTGTAAAGCCCGCCCCAACGCTTCTGATTGGTGCCTCGATTTCGGCGGATTGGAAATGGGCTTGAATGAGCTCTTTGCCAGACTAACTTTCAGAGCAAATCTAAATTTGCCGGAAGTTGTCTGGGTTTTCCCAGGCTATAGTTATTCCCTCTTTCACTTGCAGCCACGACTGAACAACATCCCTGATTACTAATATTTTGTTGTTTTCGTTCATTTTTGAGTAGTTTAGACTTTAAAGTTAATTTCACCATGTTGTTTCCCCTTAATGTTGCATCTTTGAGCCTGGTGTGATATGATAAGTAGCTTTACCCACTACTGAGAAGAGTTGAAACTAATTAAATTAATTAAATTAAAATCTCATTGTGAAGAATTTTTTCACCTTGTAATCTTTATTCAAAATATCCATTACTCGATAGACTTCTCTCCGATAACATAGGCCGGGATTTATTAATTTAGATAATTGAAAGCTTCCTTTTATTTTTGAGTGCATCAGCCACTTCTCAACATCCAATCCACAGCTTCATTTTTTTCTTGTTCGCTAATGTGTTACACTGATGTGCATAGCAATATGGAAGAAAAGATCAGACGCTACTATTGTTTCATTGCAACTTTACATTTTGAACATGCATTCATGTTGTTAAGACACTAAATTGTGTGTAGCTGTGAGTGCGAGTGTGAATGTGTGTCCAAATGGATGGATGGATTTATTTTGTTAATCAAATTGACTTTTTATTCTAACCTCTATCAGCACATTCCTCCAACCCAGGGTTATTACCATGAACTAAAACTAAAACCTTAAAAAAAAATCATTACTAAGCATTAACTGAGATCAAATAAAATATTAGAAAACTGATTTTATTTAATCTATATGCCAATCATTTCTCATTTTCATTTAGTTTAAGTTGAAGTACTGAAATGACTAAAAGGAAATAAACTATTGGTAATATTTAATTTTGATGGTCCACTTTAGACACTATAAGTAACTTTGTAACTCCATGTCAACTAATTCAACTAACCTAACCGTCTACTAATACTCTAATGACTGCTAGTTGATATGTTTGCAAAGTTACATATAGTAGTAGATTGTCTAAAATGGACAATTGAAATAAAGTGTAACCAGAACCTTAATAAAATCTATATAGACGTTTAAAAAAATAATAATACAAATGAAAAAATGATGAAAACTTTAATTAAACTGAAATTAAAATTAAAACTATATTCAAAATATTAACAAAAACTATAATCATGATATAAAATAACACTGAATTTACCGCATTAATATGCATTATTAACTATTATTTTAAACATTACTTTAAAACATTACTTTTTTACTTTAAAAATGTAATTTTTAATTCATAACTGTACAAAAAAACGTTAAACAAACTATAAAACAAATATATATAAAAATGGCATAACAATTAAAAAAAAATCGGTAACACTTTACAATAAGGTTCATTTATCAAACATTAGTTAATGTATTAACTAACATGAACTAACCATGAACAATACATTTGATACTGTTTTTGTTAATCTTTGTTAACGTTAGTTAACCCTCTGGGGACCAGAGTGTTTTTGGGGCCCTTGGGATGTTTTGACATGCACTGACATTTGTGCTTTTTTCAGTTATTTATAAACATGTTAATGGCAAAGGTGTAAATTCACTCTATATAGCACAAACTTGGCTACCATGATGAGTGAGCAACATGTATGTACATGTTTGTATTTTTAATAGAATAATGTTTATGCGTGGTTATTGAAAAAAATAAAAATGAAAGTTGCTGAAATAAGACCACAAAACACATATTGATTATTTCTTCACAAGACTTTTGAAAATTGTATCACATAGCCTAGAATATTTGCTCCAAAACTATGTGAGAATCATCCTGACTACTCATTCAGATAAGTCAATAAAGTCTTTTACATTTTTAATGACGTGTTTTGTTTGAGAAAGCTTTATGCGAGGAGGCGTGGTCTCTCATTAATATGTGTGGAATTTCACACCTGAGAAAGACAAAGACCCTCCCCATAATGGCCCTATTAGGTGCTATCAGGCCATATCATTACAGGAGCTTTGCACAAAGAATGAGGAGATTTAAAAAAGAATGGCTTTTAGATTGTTTAGATTTATATAAGGAAAATACAGGGTGCATAAGTCTGGACACTTCTATCACACACCCTTCACCGTATAGACATGGTTTTATTTCAGTTCAAAGTTAGAGTTGGAAACATCTTGAAAAGAAAATTGTCTTTCTCCATAAATGTCTTAGTTTGATCATACATATTTCAAAGTTGAGGATTCATTATTTTGATAGCTTGAACAAACACTAAAACATCTTAGTTGATTAGTTTATTGACAAAACATACTTTATATTTAACATATGAGCAGAAACTCCTAAAAAAAGCTTATTTGATGTCTATTTTAGAGTAAAAACTTTATCCAAAACGAGTCAACGAAATGTTATTTAGTCTGTAACAGTGCGTATCTGTGCGTTCATTCATTCATTCATTCACACACACACACACACACACACACACACACACACACACACACGCACACACACACACACACACACATGATTCACATTTAACAGTACGCTATTTTTCCGTTTACAGACACTACGTTATTCTATATCGCGATTAGAACAAAGCACTTGCAAAAAACACTTACTTCTCAGCTGAATCTGTTCATCCTCGCAGTGAAAATAAACCCAGTGGTAAATTTCCCAGGATTGTTCCTCATATAGCCGCGCAAGACGACAGTAGATTAATCTGACTAAAAAATAATGTGTGTTTTCAGAGTTTATGGGCGTTCACGCGTCTCAATGTGTTGCTTCACATATTTGCGTTTGAATAGCGCGTGCTCTCCGTGGGCGTGTCACATTACCAGGGATAATCAGCTGAGAGAACGATAATGAGACGGGCTGACACGTCTCTCTTTTTATATAGATAACATAAACGGAGAATATTAATTTTAGTTTTGAATCGGATCATTTAAAAGTACAAACTCAAACGATTTAAAAGATATATTGCTTATGGCTGGGTGAATAGTATAAGCTGAGTTGTGTTGAAGATTAGAGACGTGCTCCAGAAAAAAAGTTCACGGTGACTGCAGGCAGAACGCACACCCTGTTTATTTTCTTTATTTTACAAAAGCACAATATTTTATTTCGATTGTATGTGCGCACATAAAAAAGTAGACATTTAACAGATTATTTTCTCATATTTCTTAACTCTATATGAACAGAAATGATGGTAGTACTTTAAGTCTATTTTTCTGCTATGTGAAAAAAAACGAGCAAAACGCGCCCGCGCGTTTCTGGTCCCCAGAGGGTTAATACAAATCCAGCTGTTCATTGTTTGTTCATGTTAGTTCACAGTGCATTAACTAATGTTAACAAGATTTTAATAAAGTATTAGTAAATGTTGAAATAAACATTAACAAATGCTGAAGAAGTATTGTTCATTCTTAGTTAATGTTAACTAATGTAGTTAACTAATGAACCTTATTGTAAAAAAATCAATTGTATACAATTACCAATAGAGTTCACTAGAAATACTTTGTAAAGTAGTGTTAAAAGCCCTCTCCATCTGGACAGCCATGATGTTATAGTTGTTGTTTTGTAACGTGGGTGAAAGTTTCATTTTATTTAAAAATATTTGCATGTTACAACTTACCCTTTGTCACAGCCGTCTCTCTTACTTCATTCTTATTCCAAAACACCATTCCTCACAATGAAGAAACCTTCCAAGTCTAGAGAATAATGTGCTATTGTCGGAAGAGTTTGAGAAACAATGCTTTTGCATGATAAGGCCTAATTTCCAGAGTGTGACGAATCCCGAGGGACTCGATACCGAATATGATATACAGTCGGGGAAATATTTGTCTAACTGAGAGGGCCAAGAAAAAACTGTTTATCACGACATGAGAGGTCTAGACCACGGGTCAAGATGACACACACACACACACACACACACACAAAGGCTACATACAGAGTGGTCGCAAACATTCAGACTGGCGGTCTCCTCCCCCTCCCCCGTTTTCAGCCTGTAATATCCTGGTGAGGAGAGGAAGTGTAATGTGTGTGTGTGTGTGTGTGTGTGTGTGTGTAATGTGACTCCACCACGGTCTGAGCCCCTCTCTGTAATCCTGGGCATGGCTGGAGGCCATCACATATGCACACAGTCTCACACACTGAAGATTACAGTGATCAGGGTCACTCACTCACTCGCTCTCACACACACACACAGACACACACACACACACACTATGGCCTGTACCAGGCGGTGAGGATTAACTTTAGCTACTTTTGGATCTGGAATCCTGCATTGCTTTGGTCCCTGGATGATGCCGCATGTTTCTCTGTCCACAGTTGAGCGCCGGCTCTGAATGCAGCTGTGACACGGGTCCTGACGGGGCCAAGAAGAAGAAGTCCAAAAACCTGTGAGTCCTTTTACAGTTTCTCTGCGTGTTGTGTTTTGTGTTGGTCATTGGTGTTGGTGAGAGGAGCGAGAGCTTTCAATCTACACAAGTTACAGTTACACTTACATATTGAAATGAGCTCTCGGAAATCTCTCTGTTGGTCTTTAGTTCTTCTTTAACAGTTGCTTTGTGACACATGTGAAAACATGGTGTGTTTCTGTTGTGTATGAGCAACACATTTGTTACAGTATTTGCAGTCCATTGTTAGTTCATGTCAAATCAGGTCCATTAATTAATATAATAACTACTATAATACTATAATATATTAATTAATAACACATTCAAGTTTTTATTTTAATAATAGTAAATGTTGGATTTAATATGAACTAAAAGTAAAACAAGTATTTGAAGTATGTTAAATAATGCTATTTAGTTACTACATGTTACATGTTAGTACATGTCAGTACATGTTAATGTTAACTAATGGAACCTTATTGTAAAGTGTTACCAATAATGGAAACCGATACAATATTTGATTTTGATAATGCTTTAGTGAATGTTCAAATTAACAATAACTAAGATTAATTAATAAATGCTTTAGAAGGACATCATGAAATCATTTTGACTAAATTCTAAAGTAGTATTATTACATACATCTCAAAGTGACGGAAATGTCAACTATAAATATACTTTATCATAGATAAAAATGTATAAAAATAAATGAATACATATTAACACTTTATTTGTGTGTGCTTTTTGTTTTGTAGTAATTCGAGTATTGTGTTGTTAGTTTCGAAACATGCATCAAACTTCACATTGAGCTGGTTGACATGAAAATCAGTGTGTGTGTGTGTGTGTGTGTGTGTGTGCGTGTAAAGAACCTACAACATCCATGGAACCTTTTAGTTGCACAAAAGGTTCTTTGTTGTGGAAAAGAGTTCTTTAGAATATTCAAATGTTCTTTTAAGATCACTGAAAGGTTCTTTGGGGAACCTTTATTTATATGTAGAGTTTCTCAAACTGATGTTATGATGTTCTTATCTCAGCAGAGTTTGTGTGTGTGTGTGTGTGATACTGTATTAAGCTCATCACTGATAGTTAATCAGAGCCTTTGTATTGTGAGGTGTCAATTGTGACAAAGTGTTTGTGGTTTTTTATACTGGGAATTGTGAGGTCAACACAATAAAGGAAAGGTTTTTACTGTCTGGTGAACTGGGACTGTCTGGAATCCCTAAATCTGACCTCGAAATAATTTCTTGTGATACAGTGACTCCCAATTTGATTTGCTGAAACAGTGCTGGTCTTCTTTTTTCACTAATTGATCATATTGATCTTCCATTTATAAAGGAATTTTATCAGGCACAAAGAGACGCGTTTATATCCAGTCTCCTTCAAATCAAGCAAATCTGTGGAGAAAAGATCCGGCATGTTTATCATCCGCTGCTTTCTCAGATCGCGTGAGGGATTACTGGACACAGTAATGTTTCGGATATCTCTTCTGCCTCTTAAAAGCTTGTAATGTTTTAATCTTCTTGCACACACTTATTTTAAGTGGTGTTTTAGTAAACTAGGTGACGGCGGCACAGTGAAAACGACATTACTTTATATCTCAGTGCAAGTCTTTACACATAAACACTGTTGTGCAGCTGTTCAGTTTCTGTTGTTTCAGCTGCATCAAGGCTTGGAAACACTAGACTTTGCACTGGATTTACTTTCATACACACGTGAGAGTGAGAGACCTGAAACACAATTCAAAGAACACACTTATAAGCATGGTGTGCAGTGTTCTGGGGTCTGAAGTAATTTTGCACACTCAAAGTGTATCATGACCATGACATTAGAGCGTTAATGTGTGTTCAACGTATATGCAAATTGTTTGTACAGCTAAGTGGCCATGGTTTGATTTGTGTCTGTTTGCAATAAGTGCAAATAGAGGCTATTTACATTAGCTCCGCCCACCATTGTTTGGTTGAGCCCGATGAATAACAATAGAAACCAAGCTTGCAACTGGGACAGTGGCAGAACGTAAGAAAAGTGGATTTAGCTTTTGACTGTTGACTGACCCCATATTTGAATCCACCTTTTTCTGATCCTCTTCTTCTCCCTTTTCTCATCGCATATCAGCTCTGAAGGGTGTTTATGATAAATAAAACTGGAGAATATATTCAACAAGTGGAAATAAAGTGGCTAACGGGTGGGATTAAAGTGTTTAACATGTATTTATTAGGCCTATAATAGAAATTTTAAGTATCCTAGCATTGATCTGACTGGCTGGAATAGTGTGTATTTGCACAACAGTGTGTATATAAAAGTGTACTTGCACTTATAGTGTAAATAGCATCTGCCACTAAGTTTTGGTTTATTATATTAAGATCAATACGGCCTAGTAACTGTGGAGACACACACACACACACACACACACACACACACACACACACACACACACACACACACACACACACACACACACACACACACACACACACACACACACACACACACACACACAAGTGCCTATGTTCTGCTTTAAAAGAGATCAATAACAGGAGGAAGGGTACACTCTAAAAATTGCTGGGTCTTTTTAACCCAAATGTGGGTCAAATATGGACAAACCCAGCCATTGGGTTATATTTTTAAATGATATTTTTAACCCAACGGTTGTTTTTGTCCATATTTGACCCAAATTTGGGTTAAAACAACCCAGCAATTTTTAGAGTGTAGTTAACACACACACACACACACACATACACAAGTGCCTATTTTCTGCTTTAAAAGAGATCAATAACAGGAGGAAGGGTAGTTAACACACACACACACACACGTAACACTCTGTTGTGAAATATATGTGAAATTGAGCCTCATTTAGATGAATGACATCAAAACAATAAACAGGAATGTGACACTGCACATGTTTGAGTAACAACACTCTTGGCTTCCTTGAACTTACATGTACTCTACAGTATGTAGACGACGTCTCAGCCACTCTACAGAATCTGCCAACATCGGCTCATTGGAAAAATAACATTTCTGCAAAACTTACTTATATGCATAAAATTCACTGCAGATTCCAGAATAATTATTATATCCGAATAATTTGTTAACAAACATGTATTCATTAATTCAATGAGCTCATTGTTTCTCCTTAGATTAATACATTGTTTAAATCAATACATTATTAGCTAACTGATTTATATACAGTATGTACATTTCTGAAATCTGATAACAGATCACTCTATTGTAATGTGAACTCATGCATTTTCTGTAAAGCTGCTTTGAAACAATATGTATTGTGAAAAGCGCTATACAAATAAATGTGAATTGAATTGAACACTATAGGCAGTAAAATTCCTTGTTCCTTCTTTTTTTAACACAAATTATGATTACTGGGGCAGGTCATCAATTAATAAAGACTTATTTTCATGCACATGCTATGTTATGATGACCTCAACATATTTTGACCATAGTGCATGATTTGTGAACTAATACACTTTAAACATTTGCATCATATGTGTCTTTTCTGATGTCTTTTGCTCGGAGTCACGCTAGAAGACCTGCTGTTTTATCTGAGTTTTTATCTCCTGTTTGCTCGGTTAAGTCCCACTCACTGGACAGTTCACTTTGAAAGTGTTGCAAAACATGCACGAATCCTCATATTATCATTGTTTTGCAGAAATGCCACTACAGGCATGTACTGTATTTCCATTTTCCCGCAAAGACACGAAGACTGTGACAATGAGTGCTTCACATGAGCAACTAAACACTGCATTTAGAAACACTAGATGTAGATGTGATGCAGGTCATAAGAACATTTTCCCAAGTTTTGTTTGAGACACTTATTTGGACATTAAAGAGATGTTTTTGCATGTTTCCCAACGGGATATGTGACAAGTATCACTTAGCTCGGCCGACCCCTTGATTCGTGATCTCGTGTTATTATCAGGTTATTATCTGTATTTTTTGTATAAATAACACATTTTTCTTAAAAATAGACATGTATATATTTAAGAAATATTCACATGTATATACATATATAATATATAAATGTTTTATGTATAAATAACACATTTTTCTTAAATATAGACATGCATGTGTGTGTATTTATAAATACAAAATAATTATACACAGTACATACACATATATCATGTAAACACAAACTTTTATTTTGGATGTGATTAATCGTTGCCCGGCACTATAAACACTCTCACATGTGTATTGATCTGAAGTAGCTGAAGCTTTTTCAGGTTTGATATAAACGCTCGTAAAAAGTCCTCGCACAGATCAGGTACAGTTTATCTCAGTCGCTTTGGTGCATTTCTCACATCACTATTTACATTTGCACAACAGTTAATGCAGTTCTCAAAACAATTAGTACAAACTGCAAAACCTAGCTGATAACCTGCAAAAGCGTGTCACTTGCTCAAAATGGATTTCTCATTCCTCGAAAGCAAGTATTCATGTCAATGAAAGTGTCAATGTCATCAAGATGAAAAGTCCTGACACCATTGTTTAAGAACAAGATAGTCAAATGGCTTTGTCATGTTTTCATTATGACAGTTTACTCTGTAAATGTTTTCCAATGCAAAAAAGTCAGATCTTGGTGACACTACTTGAAAATGCTCAAGACAGCACTATATACTATTTGCACGGCCATTTGGAGGTTTAGTGAGGTAACCCCTATATATGCATATGTATGTTTCACATTTTACTGCATATGCTCTTTGCAATTCTAATTTGTTCACAGCATTGTGCAAAAGAAAAAAAAATACACCCTTATTTACAACAAACATAAACTCCCTTTGCATAGAGCTGTAAACGATATCACAGTACATATTGGAACTGAACATACAACATACACAGTACTGTAAATCATTCATGCACGTCCCTTCTCATCAGTGAAAGCTGAGGTTCACCTGAGAGAAATTGTTCAATTTAGGATAAAAAAAGTTTTTTTCTTTTTTTAAAAGATCAAAATAATTGTAAAATTTGCTTGACAGATTTTGACAACTAGTTCAACAGTTTTG